AGTTTTTGTTTGTCTTCCTTTTCCTATTTTGAGATTTTTCTCGAAAGTAAAAAGTGCATTTAAAACTATTCAAGTTAGTTGCAAAAGAGCAACAAAGTGGGAGCGAGCAAGAGAGTGTGAGAGAGCGGGTATGTGTGTGTAACAGAAAGGCAATTATGTACAGTTAGGTAAATAAGTAGACAAATAGCACGGTATATATGTAGATAAGGTAATGGGCATACAAACACAGGCATGCTTTATGGTTCTGTTTTGCAGCTTATGCCGTCTGTCCTGGCCGTCTCACTCGCGCCCCCTCACTTCGCCTCTCCAACACTGCTGACCAACTGTTATGTCTTGGCTGACCTACCCCTCTCCAGCTCACACTCCTCAGCGGGCTGTCAATGCACTCGAATGGCAGCCACACAGACAAAAGCCTTTGAACCGGGAACAATACAATTTTAAGCTCTGTGTGCTTTCAGGTAGCCGCCACTTGGCAGTCGTCATGTTGGGCTAGTCTGTGTGTGTGTTTGTATGTATGTGCTTGTGTGAGTGTGTGTGTGTGTGTGTATAGCCATGCAGTTAGTTAGGCAATGACAATCAACTTAAAGTGAACTCCCCCCCCCCCCCCCCCTTTCCCACAGCGTTTGTTTCGAACAGGGCGCAGGGCGAAGTAAGCGAAGAATATACATAAATGCAAAGGCAAAGGCAAAGGCACTGACAGAAGGCAACTAGCATACAAAACCAATTTCCTTTTTATGGCAAATGAAATGAAAATTTGAAATGACCACAAAAACGAGTGACAAGCACACAAAGTGGTGGTCGGTGAAGGGATGGTGGAGTGGGAGGGGTGGGGAAGGGGGGGGGGGTGGTTGCATACAAAGTGCCATACAAAAATCTGTACTGGAAATCGCAACTCGGACAACATGCGACAATGTGAAGTGGCTTAATCTTCAACAAACTTGCTCTTCCTCTTTCTAGCTGTCTTTCCCTCTCCCCTTCTCTCTATCTCTCTGTCTTCTGGTGCAATGCAGCATAAATGGAGGCAGCCACATTAACCAAAGCGAAACCCAACAACAAGCTGAGCGAAACAGCAGCCAAAACGCGAAATTAGCCGCTAAAAACTGACTGACACTGGACGACTGTCAGCATGCGATTAGCTTGCTTGAGGGGGGCCGACGTGAAGGTCGCCGGCGGTTGGGGAAGGGGGGGGGGGTGAAATAGGTTAGGTGCTTGCTAGGCCGCGGGGCGCACGCGCTGTCTTACAGAGGAGTTTCGGGTCAACCGAGCAATCTAGCCGCAGCGGCTTTGCGGTGGATTTATTTTATTGCCCAACGCACAGCAGCTAATAGGGTCGATGGAGGGGGACGGGGACGGGGAGGGTTAGGGGTTGGGGGCAGGGGTTTGGGTTTGGGTTTGGGGGCAGTTAGCCAAGCAACTGTTACGGCAGTTAGCTCTTGCCTCCCGTCGTCGTCGTTGCTGTCTGCTGCATGTTGCCTGCCAAGTCGCCATTTGTGTGTGGTTGTCTTTAATCCTTTCGGTTGTTGCTTGGCTGAAGCTGGGGTTGGAGCTCAGTTAAGTTGTCTCCACGGCCAGCAGAGCCCCCTCGCCCACTCTTCCACCCTGCCGCCCCTTCGCATCTCATAAAACGCCATCCATATGCGCATTTCATTTGATTTGATTTAATTTTATAGCCTTTTATGTGTGGACCTCGCTTGCTGTTGCTGCTTGCTGCGTGCTGCTTGGCTGCGCGCTCTGCTGGGCAGTTGCTGATGTGGAAGGGTGCCGTGGAAATTGGGAGGGGTGCGGCGGGGGCATGGCTGATGCATGCCATGTTGTTGCTTGGAATTAATTTCATGTGATTTTTATTTATTTATGCCAATGAAAATTGCACGCTCTTTTCGCCTTTCTTTCCGTTCATTTTTTCTTTTAGCCTCGGCTCAGAAGAGAGCAGGAGTGGTACGGGGGGTGGAGGGGGGGGGGGGTTAAGGAAGGAGACGAAGATGCAAATCTGAACCTGAGCCTTGTTTCGCTGTCGGATTTGGTTGTCCGCCAATTTGCCTTTGGTTATTTGAAGTGTGTTTTTGAAGGAACTTCATTTGTGTGTGTGCTGCAGGGGGAAAAGTCACCCAAAAAGTTGCAAAATATGCGGAAGAGGGTTACACACAACTTTTGGCCTTCACCTAACTGGTTTCGGTTTTAAACTCATTTTTTTCAGCAAATATCAATTTTCTTTGTTATCGCCAGCACCAAAAATTGGTGTACAAATCGCAATTTCCCTTCTTTTTAATTGTCTTCAAATCGATTTCGTGAAAATTAAGACTCAGAGCTTGAGAAGTAAACAAATAAATATATGGTTTTTGTTAGGAGATAACCCATGTCCAGGTTTGAACTGCCTTGAGGTACACAACTTCTTATTTATTTGATCTTAATATATTTATATGTAAATACTAGCGGGTATAACCCGGCCTTGCCCGTGGCACGTATGTTATAAAATCAATGTTTTCAAAAAGCTTTGAAAATGATTTTGAAACTGATCGGACGGGATTCCCACAAACTTAAAATTCACCAAAAAAAACTTTGAAATGCATTTTCCACCGAAGGAGTTTAGATTTTGCGAAAATGTGAAACACGTCTCAAATGATTTTTCTTATAGATCTTTGGAAATAAATTTGAACACAATACGTCATCCACCAAATCTTCGACCCCCATTTGCACCAAGGAGGGATGGATTTTTCAAAAAGTGTGAAACACCCCTCAAATGAATTTGAACAAAGATCTTTGAAAATAAGTTTGAGGCCGATCGGATCGTTAACAAAAAACTTTCATACAACCGTTTTCCGCCAATTTACCACTCTTGCGGGTGGAATTTCCCAAATCGCTGAAATACGTATTTATTAAGTTCTTATGTAGAGCTTTGAAAATAAGTTTGAAGCAAATCGGACACAACTTAAAACTTCGCCCAAAAAATCTTTGAATCGCATTCCCCCCAAAGATGTTTGAATTCTGCGAAAAGTGAAAAACACGTCTCAAATGAATTTTCATATAGATACTTGGAAATAAATTGGAAATAAATAAAAACGTCACCCACCAAATTTTTGACCCCCATTTCCACCAAGGAGGGATGCATTTTCCAAAAAGTGCGAAACACCCCTCAAATGAATTTGAACAAAGACCTTTGAAAATAAATTTGAGGCAGATCGGATGGTAAACAAAAAAGTTACATACAAACGTTTTTCGCGATTTTTCCACACTTGCGAGTGGAATTTCCCGAAACCCCGGCTTAACGTGCACCTACATCACATAAGGTAACTACAGTGAAAATTTCAGTTTCCTAGCTCTTACGGTTTGGGCTGTGCGTTGATCACCAATCAGTCAGTCAGTCAGTCAGTCAGCCAGTCAGTCAGGACAAACAGTTTTATATATAGAGATGTACTTACGCAAAAATGCACACACACACGCATGGTTACTATATTTCCATCTATATATGTAAATACACACAAACAAACCTTTGCATGCTTACATACATACAAACACATAAATATAACACTAATAATTATTATTAATATGATTACAAAGGATTAGAGTCAGCCAGGCTTATTTGAATAAAAAAAGTTTCTAATTGCAGCGCAGAGGCATGCAAAAATTGTCGAATACTGTACACATATACACATATATGTATATATATAGATGTGTATGTACATTTGTACATGCATACACATATTCATTCATACACATATAAAAACATAATACTTGCAAAAGCACATACAAACTTGCATAAACAACATACTTACATAAATACATGCAAACACAAATATACATACATACATACATATATACGACAGAAGTGTTCTGTGCGCTCCGTATCGTCTTTGATTTTTAATTTAAACAGCCGATACGTTATTCTAAGTTATTACAAATAATATTAATATACAATATATAATGCTTGTCATTATTTAAACAATTAAATTTATTAATTTGTGCATTTAATTCTCTCTCTCTCTCTCGCGCTCTCGCTCTCTCTCTTCCATAATTGTTGTTTGTGCTCACCTCTTTTGCATTGTCTTTGCTGCTCCTGTGTGCAACTGTAATCTATAAATAGAATAACACTCTTCGTGTGCTCTCTCGCCTATTTTCATTCTTTGAGCTTGTCTGTGTTTACACGTTTTATGTTTTACACTTCACGCGAGTATGTTTAAAATTTAAAGAACGGCCAAGCCGGTTAATACATTCTAGTATTAAATAGTACAGCATTCTATGGTCAAATATATAAATATATATATAAATGGCAAGGGTGTTTTTCTTTTTTTGCGTTATGAGTATGAGTAGGAAACTGTTGTTGTCATTCGCGTTGTCCTAATTTTGTTGTTTTCCGTTGCGGCGTCAATAGGTTCGTTTGTCAATCTGATAATCAAGCTCCATCCAAACAGCCGGGCCACAGCTAACATGTCAGTCAGTAAGTGTGTGAGTGAGTGAGTGAGTGAGTGAGTGAGTGAGTGAGTGAGTGAGCGAGCGCGCCTGCTGGTGTCCTGCTGGGCCTAGGCCCATGCTGCTGCTGCTGCTCATGATGCGCGGACCACTCGTATATGGCGAGTCATGTACAACGCATCATCATTTATCAAAGCGCGGCAACAATTCGCAGGCTGACAAGCCAGCGGCACTGGCATAAGCCATCTCCTCCCCTCCCATACACACTGCCCCAAAGCAAAGCCGTCGCCATTTTCTTGCGCTGCTTTTTCGGCGGCGGCGGCTGCGGCGGCGGCGGCGGCGGCTTATCGTTAGTTGGTCCTGTCATGTAACGGTTAAATCTGCATGAAAAATTAATGCTGTTTTGTGTATGTGTGTGTGAGTGTGTGGGTGGGTGGGTGTGACTGTGCCACTGGGCTATTGAAATTAGAATTGGCCTTCGGCAGCCGCATCCGCCTTTACTTGCCTATTCGCTCTTTCATTCGCTTTCACATTCGCATTCGCTCTCCCATTCGTTTTCGCATCGCCTCTCCCATGCACAATCGCAGTTCACAATGTTTACATTTAGCGTTTATTTTTTATTTGGCCAAAACGAGTGTCGTTTGGCTTTTATGTTTTTGTGTGGGACAGGTCAATGCAGTGTTTCGCAACTGGGTATGTGGGTCATGTGTGTGCGTGCGTGTCTGTATGGTTGTATGGGTGTATGGGTGTGTGGGTGGGTGTGTGGGTGGGCGTGTGCGTATATGCAGCGTGCGTTTGCTTATGGATTTGCCGTTAGTAGTTGCGACGCCAGAGGCTCTCGAAAGGTTGCTGTCGACGCTGGCGCAGCTGCTGATGTAGCTGTTGTTGTTGTTGCAGCCTCTCATAGCCGGCGGCGAGGCTCTGCTCGGCGGCAGCCACATGGCCGACGGCAGCCACATGGCCGGTGGACTTGTATGCGTAGGCCAAATGCGGGACAGTTTTTCGCCGTTGCTTTGCCGATGAATCAGTGGGCGCTAGAACTGACACCTTTTTTTGCTGATAGCTGGGACGCGGCGGGGCTTGAGCCGCCGTCAGCGGCGTTGGTACCTTTTTGGCCTCCGGCTGTTGTCTTACCTTCCGCTTTGGTGGCTCCTGCTTCACCGGCGGCTGCTGCTGCTGCTGCTGTTGCAGATGCTGCTGCTGTTGCAGATGCTGTTGCTGTTGCAGATGCTGTTGCTGCTGTTGCAGATGCTGTTGCTGCTGTTGCAGTTGTTGTTGCTGTTGCTGTTGCTGATGCACCCACGTCGTCTTTGTGGGCGTATTCCTTGCTGGATGTTTGGCCAGCGTCTTAGTGTCATTTTTCAGCTGCGAAATCGAATACTTTTTGGCTGCCGTTGGGAAATAGCCCGTTGGCTTTTTCAGCGGCTGCTCCTGGGCAATGCGCTGCTGCTGGCGTTGCTGCTGCTGCCGCTGGAAGTGCTGCTGATGTTGCTCGGGCAATCGCTGTGCATGTATGTGCAGCATTTCGGCCTGAAGTATTTGTTGTCGATTCTTGTAGGCGCGCTTATAGGCAGACACTTGAGACGCGCTGGCGGCCAACAGATGATGGGCACCCTTTATAGATTGGGGCTGTTTGGGCAGCTCCACTTGCACCTTGCGTGCCACTCGCACTTTTTTCACAGCTTGCAGCTGCTCGGCCAGTCGGGGCGCCGGCACTTCCTGCCGCCGGGTGTTGGTCTTCATATAGAACAAATGGCTAGTGCGGCTCATTTGGTTGGAGAGGGCTGCCTTATTGACAGTGTTGTCAGGGCCGTTTGATTTTTTAAAGGCCTCCTCGACGTACACATCTTTGGGCTTTGCCTCCTCCTGCTGTACGACTACCTTGTCCTGGACAATCTCCGTGGCGGCGGCTTTGATCTTGCTGCTGGCTTGTTTCGGGCTACTGCTGTTGCATGTTTGCTTGACGGACCGCTTTGATTTGGTCTTCCCGATCTTGACTGGCTGCTTGGATGGTTTGAGCTTCGTTTTGGTCCGCGTTGACGGTGGCGCCGGCACAATCGAGACCGGCCGGAGCAAGGCATCTACTTTGTGTTCGTGCTGCTGCTGTTGCTGCTGTGGTCGCCAGTTGGGCGCCAGCGGCCCCAGCGGCCCCAGCGGCGGCTTAATGCGTTTACCAGTTGTGTTTGTCACTTGCATCATGGCCAGAGGCTCCTTCGGTCTTGAAACCGGCTCCGAATTCGATTCGAGCGATTGCGATCGGGTCTGAAAGTTAAAGCTGCGCTGCCTGTGATTCGTATGGAGCACATTGTGGAAGCTCAGGCATGGCTCCTGCTTTGGTAAATGCTTATTGCCGATCGGTTGGATCCGGCCGCTGGCGTAGCCCTGGCGGCGATTGAACGCCTGATATGTGACTGGACCGTCCGCAAATTGTATAACCTCAAACTGTCTGATCCGTTCGCCGAGTGTCTGGAAGCGTGTCTGTTCCTTGATGACGTTATTGGGCGGGGCCTGCTCGCCGCGCATTGTATATGACTTGGGCAACCCCGGCAGCTGGCGGCCATCGATGAGGCCGGCGCTACCGAAGCCAAGGCGAAAGCGCGCCTTGCTTGGCTCGTCCTCGGGCTGGCGATCGAAGCGCACGGCCAGGCGCTGCTTTAGCGCCTCGTCGACAACCATCAGCTTGTCGGCATCGTTGTCATAGTCTCTGCGTTGGCGCTGCCGCCTTGTCAATGATGCCGCACCCGCATTCGTTGTCTTCTCAATCGCAATGAAATGATGCTTACAGCTGGGCGGTCCCTTGCCCTTGCCAAGCGCATAGCCCATGCCCAGTTCCAGCGTTGTGCGCGGCGGCAAGCTCATCGATCGCCCACTAAATCCGCCCAAATCCATGTTATTTCCATTTACACACCCATCCGTTCGCTGCTGCTCGCCCTTTGGATTACTGCCACTCACCACGGTGGTGCTACTCTTATCTGGGCTACTGGAATCCTTCCCCCCGCCATCGCTGCTATTCAGTATCTGTTTGCCGTACATGCGCAAGCCGCCAGCTGAGAATGACATGGAACGCCGTCTGTTCGCCTGAATTACCGTGTTCAACAGATGACCCGAATTCGCGCAGGCCGCCTGATCGGCCATCTGCTTGTGGTTGCGTGGATACTCCGGAGCTGTACTCCGCTCCCGTTGCATTGTCAATATCCGCAAGGGTGCTCGGTTCTCCTCACGAGCCTTTACATTCTGGGACACTATTTTTGTGCAAAATGGGAGTACAAAATAATAAAATACAAATATAACAGGAAATATTAAATATATTCTCGGCTCGCCTAAGATTAAATCCTCTTCCAGACATACGGCTTGCACTTTTACAGATATATTAGGAGACCGCTTATAGAGCTTTATAATATTTGAGAAGCATCAAAAAGTTCTGAAATGTTATGTTAGCTCAAGATGTCTTCAGAACAAGAGCGTAGTTTTTGACAGATTATTCCTATGACAGCTATATGATATAGTAGTCCGATATGCAAAGATTTGATGGCTTTTAGGCTGAGAGACTGGTCTACATAGAAACAGACAGAAAGGACAAACAGCCATGGCTTTATCGACTCGGCGGTTGATACTAATCAAGAATAAAGAAAATACATTCTTTATGGATTCGCGCGAAACCCGATGCAATGTGCTGAATGCAACCTCCCGCCCTACCGACCGAGGGGTGTAAGGTACGACACGAGTCGCGAAGTACATTAACGAATACAAGCTAAGACTATAGTTGTCATCATCACAGTGGACCCGGAACGGTTTATCCAAGACATAGCTAGTTGCTGTATAGTAACGGGCCAGAGAAGTTCAGTATGCTAGTCAACCCAGAAGAGAGGTCTTTTATTTACTTAATAATACCCCAAGTCCGTCAAGAGCGGTCTACACGACACAATTTCCCATCTATCTATCGCTCTCCCTATATCTATTGCTATCTATATCTCATATCATCTTTCCCTTTATCTATATATCTTTCTCTTCAGCTGTCTCTTTATATATGTACGTCTATATCTTTTTTTCATTTATGTTTATCATTCCTAATCTCATTTGTATCTCTCTTTCTTTATCGCTCTATTTATATATCTATCTTAACCTTTCACTTTATCTATCTCTCTTAATGCATACAGCTAATACAGTTTGACTGACCGACAGGGCTAGCATTATAAGTGTATGTGTCGGGTCGGATACTTGTCCAAAATCCTATTATTTCAAGCCTATTATTCATTGGTATACTTACTCGGACTATATGGCAGCAATGAGGTGCTTCGTTCATAGTAGCTCTTCACTGCATTCTCATATAACTGGTTGGTGTTGCGCAGTAACCAGAGATTTTTACGCCCATTGACGCGCATTAGCCGATTTAGTTGATCGGCCTTCATATTATATCGGCGGCTACACCTCGTCCAACTTCTGTGTCGTGTGAGAATGCGCAGTATCTGCTCTTTAATTGTGCCCGGTTGTGGCGGTTATCGCCTGGCGATTCCAGGTCCAGTGGCTTTTACTTTTATATTAGAACGCTGTCACTGGTTGGTAAACTGGTTAGCCGTAACGATTCGGGTGTTTTTCTATGCGCTGCTCCCCAATTGAGGTGCACGCGCCTTAAACTCTAAGAATTTTGTGGTTCTTTACAATGGCAACGAAAATGGCTTAGATAATTTTTATAGGTACGTTCGTCTTAAACAGACCTTGAACCTCTTTTATACTGTATGCAATTTAAAATCGGAAAATAGGGTAAAGAACTGACTTTAAATACTAAAAGTGTCGAAGCGTAGAGAAAATTGTTTGGAAATTGAAATACATCCAAAATAACTACAAATGAAAAGCCTGCTAAAAAACAAAAATTTGCCTACAATAAAAGAAAGTATATAGTTTAATGACATATCAAAACGGCCTTCCATGCTGCCAAATACAAACAAAATTCTTTCAAATTCAAATTCTTTCGATTTTACAAAATTGTATACAAATTATCCTTCGTTTTGATTCGTGTGCGTTTTGGCAAGGCCGGAAAAATTTTCAACAAGCCTCTATACAATCGAGATCCTCTGCCACGCCCATCCAGCGCATCGCTGTCGATTTTTCATTTGACAAAGTATTGATAAAATAGAGAAAACGGCTTCATTTTCGCTGTTATACATTTTGCATATATAGAAGAAATTATCCAGCGTTGCCCGTGTCAAATAACCAACGTAGAACAAGTAAGAGGTTCTAGTCGGGAGCTCCCGACTAGGGGATACCCTGAACCCTCTTCTTCCAACAGGTGATAGGTATAAAATGAAAGATACTTGAAATATATATACTATTCTAGAAGCTACATGTCAAGCTACATGTTTGGTGAATCTAGCTCATATTATTTACCGAAATTGCTCAAAAAACAGGATTTCGATATCGATTTTTATCGATTACTTGGAAACAGAGAAAGTTATTGAATATCGGAAACAAACTGCGTGGGCACTAGGAGAACCTACAGCTAAAATTTGAAGTCTCTAGCTCTTATAGGTTCTGAGATCCTTGCGTTCATACATACGGACGGACGGACGGACGGACGGACGGACGGACGGACGGACGGACGGACGGAAAGACAGACGGACATGGCTAGATCGACTCGGCTATTGATGCTGATCAAGAATATATACACTTTATAGGGTCGGAGATGCTTTCTTCTGCCTTTTACATACATTTGCACAAATAATTATACCCATTTTCAATTGGTTCAGGGTATAAAAATCGTTTGAACTTTTGAAGTCAGATTGTGTGGGAAAGCATCAAACACAATGCAGCCTTAGAAATGTTCTTGGCAAACGTTACGTCTGAGCGTCGGACTAATAAGCTAACAAGTCACCGGTTCAACTCCAGGCGCAATTGTCAACTTTATACTCTTATAATTTCTGAGTTATGCTTCAAAAACCGATTTTCAAATATCGATTTTCATCGATATTACCAAATGTGCAGGAATCGATACGCTCGTTCTGCGTTTTGTATATTTTTTTTCGCTCGCATCCCGATCCAATAGACTGCATCCCACGAATATATACTCAGACTATCCACTTGTTAAATAGTTTAGAATAGAGGAATTTATTGTAGAAAGAGACGACTCCGAGCAGAATACTCTATAAAGCTTGTTATTGTCATCACAGAAAACCCTGAACGGTTCGTGCAGGGCTTAGTTAGTTGAACAAAATTGAAGTGATAAATGTGTATACTTACGTGTTAGTCTAGTAGGCATAGAGAAGTTAACTGGGTAGTCAACATAGAAGAGTCGATTACACCCGTAATTAGCTTATGCATAAATATTACACCAAGCATGGTTCTACGATTAATTAAGGAGGGAAGATTAATCATAAGAGGCCTATTGGAGTGGAATATTGTTATGACCAGATACATGAGGCATACTCTAGTATAGGTCGTACCAAAGACATACAAAGGGTCTTTGTCATGTACGGCTCGTCGAATCCCTTTGACCATCGCTTGATAAAACCCAAAATAATACTGGGCTTATTGACCACGGTCGTAACATGAGAGTCGAATTTAAATTGATTGATTTATTGATCAAGAATGACACCTAGATCATTAACTTCATTACAATTGCTGTTGACATCAAGAATGTAAGAAACCAATTGGGGAGTGCTTCTATAGAAAGTCATTACCTTACATTTACAACTTTGACTTTACACCAGGACTGAATCGCATCATTGTCGGCTTGTAAAAGATAACATGATGCCATAATTTCACGTCATCAGCATTTATTAATACTCGAGAGTGAGACAGTATCGAGGAAAGGTCATTGATGAAAAGAGTAGAGAGTAGTGGGCCAAGATGGCTATCTTGAGGGACACCGGAAGTTATCAGAATACGTTTGGAAAACGGATGTTTGAAAAGAACCTGGGTTTCTTTTACACTCCAGTAAGCAGTAAGGAGTGGTTTACAGAGTCGAAAGCCTTACTGAAATAAGAATAGATTACGACGGCCTGTATTTTTTTCTTAAACCCATCAATTACTAACGAAGTAAATTCAAGAAGGTTATTGGTTGTAGATCTACGCTTCGCGAACCCATGCTGAGAAGGTGAAATAGAGCCACATAAATGTTGCAGTTGAGATGTTTTAATTCCCTCAAAAGCCTTAGGTATAGCGGATAACTTGGAAATACCTCTATAGTTTTCGACATCGGACTTACTCCCTTTTTTATGGACAGGGATTATGTATGATTCTTTCTAAATAAACGGAATATATGACGTGTTTACAGACAATCCAAAAAGTTTTAAGACAAGTTTACATAGTGATACAGCACAGTACCTGAGAACACGATCAGGGTCCGTTGAGTCGCCGAGAAGCGAACTTTCCGTAATAATAGGATTTAAGATGCAGTTTGACCTCTGCAACTGATAAGGATAAGGCTGATTCTTATTTTAGCTAGAGGAGGAGTAGGTAGTTTGCTTGGATCAGTATTCGCGCTCTCATCTGCAAACTTAAACAAATAAGGCAAAATAGATGTCTTACGTTTTGTAGTTGAAAAAGTTAAAAAATTGCCTAGGATTATGTCCGAACTGGAGGCGACAACGGCGAAGGTAATCCTTGTAGCATATGGAATTTTGCGTAGAAAAATTGGATCGGGCAAATGCATATCGGGAGAAATCAGAGTGATTTCCCGATTTCTTAAACTTTTTATAACACCTCGGCTTTACATTTTGTGATTGAACGAATCCTACAAACAATATAACAAAGTTCTTAAGCTTATGTAGTTTTCGAGATAACCATGTTAGTACGGACGGACAGACAGACGAACATGGCCAGATTGATTTAACTTGGCGTCCTGATCAAGTATATATATTTATATTTTGTATGTGGTCAGAGATATGTTTTCTGCTGCCTGTTACATACATTGGCAATAACCGTCAATCGTAATGCCCCTTTTGCGCGTTTTCGATGGGAACAGAGTATGCAAATTATGGATCGGCTCTTGGTTTAGGTTACGCTGTACTTTATCCAGCTAATTAGATTTAAGGTGCGTTTCATAACCGGTTTGCAGCCTTGATTCTTCAGCCTTCTTTCATTACGATTGCGAGTCCAACTGGGTGCTCTGGGCGGGACAGATGCGCATTACTTGCCGCACGACGCTTGACACTGATTAATTGGGTTGCCGTCAAGTGGCTCAGTAAATGCCGAGGCAAAAAAGTTGGTAAAAATATAATAATTAGCCACAGGTAACACAATTGGAACAGTCAGCGGCAACATCCAATGAGGAGGCGACTGCCGCCAGTCTCGTGCGGCAATTTGTCAAAGCTGCTCCTGATGTGCAGCTGTCCACGGCTTTTCACCATGATGATGATGATGATGGGCTTGATAATGATTATGCTGTTGCTTGCAATTCCCTGCTTGTTCTTCTTGGAGTGCAAACATAGCGGCAAAAAAGTGCTGAAAACATGAGTTGATCCGGGGCATCAGGCAGGATCTGTGCTGCGGCTTGTTGGCAGTGCGTGTGCACAAATTGGTTTTAATTGAATTACAGTGCGTAATTTATGCATTGCTTAGCCCATGTACGTACACCCTGCCACGCACACACACACACACACACACACACACCCTTCCCTTTCCCCACCGTCGAGCCACAGCAAACAAATCGATTGGAGCTGCAGTTGGGCTTAATCGAATCCTGGATGCATTGCAGCGTTGCCTGCATAAATGTGGCCTATTTATGAACAGAGCCGCAGTGGCCAACACCACAGGCCACAGACCGCAACCCACACACACACACACACACACTGCATGCTGCATTCGAAAGGCCAAAAGAATTTTGTGTGTTGGCAACTTTTCGGGCGCAAACAAAAAACTTTTGCAATTCTTTGCATAAAACTTTAAAAATTAACTTAATTAATTGGCACATCATTTCGGTTAGTGCTGGCCCCCCACCCCCACTCAGCTGGCTCCCCTCGCCTAGCCTCGCCTCGCCAGCATCCCCACGTGCTGCTCCTCTTATCTTTTGCCAGCTAGTCGACCTTTGACCCTTTTAATGCTTTGTGCGTGTTGAATGAATTTCAGTTGATATCCAAAACAAAATGTTGCTTTGCCTTGCTATAGCCCCTCCCTTGTCACCAGCTCCCGCCCCTCAACGCTACGGCCTGTTGTTGCTGCTAAGCTGCCACATTAGCAAAGTGAGGTGCAAATTTTACGAGTGTCCTTTTTGGGCTGACAGCCAGTTGTTGTTGTTGTTGTTTGTTTGTTGGGATTTTAGTGAATGGTAAAAAGTTGTCTCGAGAAAGCTTTCAGCTTTTAACGTGCCACTAATTGGGGTGGCGGGGTAGATGGGCGTGTCAGCTAGATGTTGCCTAATGCTCTGGTGTCCATGTGCGCTGGCCCCATTAAAATTGACATTCGTTGCATTTCGGGCAATTAGACTAATTGACTTTTAACCAGCACATGAGACTCACGCGCCCAACAATAACCCCCATGGAACCCCTGTCCACCCACCTTCGCCCAATCCACGGGCCCATTAATTTTGTATGCGCAATTCGCTTGTTGCAGCTGCATAATTGTCAGCGACAAGTGTTCGCGTTGCCTGTCTCAGTCAACTAATTTGGGCCAGCAAGGCACAAAGAAGGAGCGACTGCTATAGAGAAAGATAGAGAGATAGACAAAAATAGAGAGAGAGAGAGAGAGTGAGAATATGGCTTTGCATCAAAGAAAAAACCAACGTAAGAACTTAGTTTTGCAATGCATTAGATGCATACAAATGTATGCTATTTTTAATTCAATACCATAAACATTTATAAAAAAAAAGCATTACCATTGAAAATATTTTATTTTTTATACCCTGTACACATTGA